AGCTTGTGATCCACTATAACCCCTAGATCCCTTTCTGCCGTACTCCTCCTTCGTATTCTTCCATCCTAAGTGCAGGACTCTGCACTTGTCCTTGTTGAACCTCATCAGATTTCTTTTAGTCCAATCCTCCAATTTGTCTAGGTCCCTCTGTATCCTATCCCTACCCTCCAGCGTATCTACCACTCCTCCCAGTTTAGTGTCATCTGCAAACTTGCTGAGGGTGCAATCCATACCATCCTCCAGATCATTAATGAAGATATTAAACAAAACCGGCCCCAGGACTGACCCTTGGGGCACTCCGCTTGATACCGGCTGCCAACTAGACATGGAGCCATTGATTGCTACCCGTTGAGCCCGATGTCTTGTTCACACCTTCCCCCTGCTGGAGAATGGCTATTTCACTAGCTGTTTGCCTTGCTGTCTCTGAGGAACTGGTCTGTGGATGTTCCCCAGAATTGTAACTTTTTCAGTAATACCATACAGTAAAATCTCATCACTTTACATACAGTGTTGCTACACATATTTTAACAGGAGGAGAATATTCAGTAGATTGAGTTTTCAAACGATATCTCACAATCCATACTTGTTCACTGGTTTACTAAGCGTGACACTGTATAGAATTGTGAGACACTTTATATTATTATTATTAATACCAATATTATAAAATTGCAATGAATCATGCTAATATACCATGTAAGGTATCTGTTATGATTGTTATGATTTTCCAAGTATGAGACTCTTGTTTCTATGTTTATATCACTTTTGTATTGTTAGTTATAGATATACAGATATATCCATATCTGCATTTCCAGACTTGTGCAGTGTTTCTGGGGGACACCCCCAGGCAGAATGGCATTGGCACTACCTAGCCTGTTTGATGGCCCATGAAGGGTCATCAGCTGTAGCAAGGGTGGCCAACCTGAGCCTGAGAGAGAGCCAGAATTTACCAATGTACATTGCCAAAGAGCCCAGTAATATGTAACGATTATATACATATATCTATATATGTGTGTGTGTGTATAGATAGATAGATAGATAGATAGATAGATATGGGACTTCTGGAAATCTTGGCTTTCAACAATTCCCTTGAAGTTTGGATTGTGTTCAGTTGTGCTCACATGCAGCAGTTCTCTTAAGTGACCGTCTGTCAAGACGGATCGGTGCTTGGATTTCACATGTTTGAGTATCGAGAAAACAGACTCCCAAAGATAGGTCAAGGCAAACATCAAGATTAATTTTAGGGCTGCACCTCTGATGTTGGGGTATTTATCCTCTGGTACAGATTTCCAGAAAGTAAGGGTCCCCCTGTGTCTTCTGAACAGATTTTAATCTGTCATCTTCCAAAAGTTCTATTATTTCCATCTGGGATGTGGCTTCCTCAGTGACTAAAGGGGGCTTCAGACAATTGGCTTCAGCACTAAAAGGGTCAATCAGAAATCTGTTTGAGGTCTTCTCTGCTGCAAATCATGGAATCTTTCCTCAAAACTGTCCTTAAGATCTTTAATTAGGCTCGCATATCTAGTTGTGCTCCATTTTAGGGGTTCTGCTGCATCTTATTTTGATCTGGCTTGAAGCTGTGACATTGAGGGAAAGTATGTCAGCTCTCATGCAATGATGTTTTTTAGGTCAGTCTTGACAAAGCCCTGGCTGGGATGATTTTGTTGGGAATTGGTCCTGCTTTGAGCAGGGGGTTGGACTAGATGACCTCCTGAGGTCCCTTCCAACCCTGATAGTCTATGATTCTATATTCTATGACTCATTTACATTGCATCACAGGGAAGACTTGAAGCTCACATCCACAACAGACAGCCTGTCACCATAACTCAGGTAAAAATTGAAGATGTTTCTAGTACAAAGGACTGAATTATAAAAAGAGGTGGGGAAAATGCTTGAGACTCTCTCCTCCCACTTTTCCCTTTCCTCATGACAACAATTCCTGAAGAACTGAACTTGGGCGGCAGGGGTGGGTTAGGGGGAGTCCTGGCTGAAAGGAAAGCCAGCACATGGTGAGAGAAACATTTGCTTTGAATCCATTTTAGCTTGTTAAGTTAGATGTTAGTTTGTGTTTTATCTTGCATTTCTTTTGTAACTAAGTCTAACTTTTATGCCTCATTACCCGTAGTCACCTAATATCTTTTTTTTTGGTAGTTAATCTTGTTTTATTGTTTTATCTAACTAGTGTGTTGTATTAAAGTGTGTGGGAAATTCCATTTGGGATAAAAGGCTGGTGCATGTCATTTTCTACTGATGAAATGACAGATTTAATATGAGCTTGTGTTGTTCAGTAGCGTGCTGGACAGTGCAAGAGGCACACTTCTGGGGGGAAATCTGGCACTTGACAATTTGCTGATGCTCTCCTGAGGTGTAATTCATGAGTCACTGACTAGCAGAACTCAATACTGTGTAGCTGGGAGAGAGTTACAGGCTGGAGACTGTGTGTTAACTGCCCAGGAGTGGCTGTTCTCACAGTAAAACAGTGGAAAAGGCACCCCAGCTTGGGGAATTGAGGGAACACAGCTGTTCAACAGTCCAGACTGTACTGTGGTTAATGTCACAGACATTCATTATGACAGAGCCTTTTACAACACAGAGAGGGTAAATCCATGTCCCAGAAATTGAAGACTCCAGAGAGAGGGCAAGTCTCCCTGGCACTGCTTCTTGCTGACAGACAGGTCCAGAGACAATGAGAGAGTCCTGGGGAAGCTGGGAACAGTAAGCATGGGCTGGTGGGGTTCAGTGGAGAAAGGGAACAGGAAGGGCAGGGATATTACTGAACGCAGGATCTCAGCAGTACTAAATGTCAGGATAGCACATACTGCAGCCCATTGGAAAAGTGAATGCCAACTATACATATAAAATGATGGGGTCTAAATTAGCTGCTTCCACTCAAGAGAGGGATCTTGGAGTCACTGTGGATAGTTCTCTGAAAACATCCACTCAACGTGCAGCAGCAAAGTAAAAAAAAAAAAAAGAAAAAAAAAA